AAAAAAAAAAAAAAAAAAAAAGTACTGAGTCTCTTCATTAGCAGAACCTAAGTTTCATATTCCTGTCACTCTGAAAAAAAAATTGTTCTATTTTTCAATGGATTTCTTGAAATATAGCATGAGCTGCCTGTAAGAATTTTCAAAGGTTTAATGGTGACTGTGTTGGTCATGTGCAGCCTTTGCTGTGGATATGACTTGGGTGCTGGAGCTGTGGCAGGTAGAGGGATTTCTGGCAATGACGTCAAAGTTATATTTTGGGACCTTAAAGCTGAGTGGGATTTTCTTAGTCTTTGTTTATTTTGGGAAGTAGTTTAATCTAATCTTTATCTATGCTAAGGAAATGTCAATTTTAGCTTCAGCTCAAACACTGTATAATCACAGCACTCAGATGTAAACTCCAGAGATGAACTTGTGCAAACTTAATACATTTCATTTTGTAATGTAATAAGCAAGTTTAAATCCGACTGCACAAGGAAATGACCAAGCATGTGAGGGCAATTTAAAGCCTAATGATCATATTCGCTGGTGCTGATGGGGATGGTGATGCCGGCTGCCTAAAGTGGCTCCAGCAAAGATAGCAAGGCAATTGATTCTGAACTTCTAAATTAAAAGAGGAAGAAAAAGAAGTTAAAAGGAGAAGAACTGTTTAAGGAAATGCCCTTCTTATTTTTCAAAATGCAAGCGAAGTAGCTTTGATTTAGTGGATGTATTTTGGACTTCTAGATCTCTGGTAGTCCAGAGCTCAGATGAGTGAAGACAAAGTTTCTGATCTCCAGAAAGGATTACTGTTCTGACTGTGGCTACTCAATGAGAATCTCTACTTCTACCTTTCCTGACCATCGGCTTGATAAAGCAGGCGACTTAACTTTATGGGATAAGGGTGCCTACTGAAACAGACCAGTAAAGAGTCTAGACTTTGTTTCTTCTTCCCCATTACTCTTTGCCTTATTTCTCCATCACATAAAAGGAAGTATGAGGAAGAATACATGCCTCATAGACAATGTTTTGACTATTAGACGAGATAATATGTGCAAAGCACTGAGCCCAGAGGCTGCTACACATTGTATTCTTTCAAATGTCAGTTATTACCAAGAATCATTCTTGCATTCTTTAGTAAATGGCTGGTGAACCCAGTAGTAAGAATGTTGCAGGCCTAGGTCCTCAGAGCTGGTCAACAGGCTGGGTGACAATATCACGTGAGGCAATTAACGGGTTTATGGAGTAACATGCAGAGTTTGCCTGAGAGCCTGAAGTGTAAGCAATGCAGCTCCTTTGGAGGAAGAAGGAAGAAGCCTGCGCATTGATTCATTGATTTTTTTTTCCTTTGGGAGCAGAATTGTGCCCTGTGTTAAGCGTTTACTAATTCTAATTCATGTATTCAGCTTTGAAAATCTGAAGATTAGTTAGAAAGCAGTAACCAGGAAATGTGGGCTCAAACATTTTATAGCATAGAAGGTCACGTGGTCCAGTAGAAAAAACATTTCTCTACATTCCAACTTGCCTACTTGCTTTAAAAACCTTAAAAAATATTAAAAAGAAAAAAATTTACAGTCAACTTCAACTCTATGATACTGTCTGTTTGAAATTATAAAATATGTCAAATAATTTTTTTTTTTGGCAAAACAAGCAGAACATTTGCCTATTATTAGAATCCATAAAGTAATATTTTAGGCAAGAGTATACTTTAACATCAAATTTCTCTGTTGCTTTCTGCTGAATTTCATTCTTGCAAATCTAAAACATTTCCATGAGCTACCTGATCCCAGAAGTGCTGGAGCTCGCCTGTGTGGATTGCTTTTGGGGTGGGCTACTCAGTCTAGGGGTTGTAACCCACCCCGCAATCCAGTTATTCCAGGGTCTCGGAGGGGCGCTACCTGGAAGGGAGTGAGCTAAGACAGAAGAACGAGGCCAAGCAACTTTGTCAAGGCCTCCGTTTATTAGGGACGGGTTACAGTTTATATATGGTAAGGGATGAGGGGCAGGGTACGGGATCTCGCAGGCCGCGTGGTTCCGGTCACGTAGCTCGGTTACATTCAGACAGACAGGCCAGAAGTCACAAGTGGCCACACCTGGTTCCCTGGATAGCTGGAATGTGAGGTGTATTCTGCTAATAGATTAACAGTTAATTGGGTGAGCAGATTCTGTCAATAGAACATAATTATGGGTGTGAGGTTCTCTGCAGACTCCCTAGAGTGATGGTTCCTGTAATGATTGTTAGTGGGGAAATGGCTCCTGACAAGTATCAGGCTGCATGATCCACCACAGATGGTAATAGCCCCATGACCAGAGGTCATGTCACATCTTCTTATCCTTGCTAGCCCTCTCTAAGATCTGGGCCTTGTTTTATAACACAGCTGGGCGCCTGCCATCCACCTGGAAAGTGATCCGCAGAATGGCTACCTATCCATTTTACTCTTAAACTCTTCATTGGCACCACCACCACCCAGCGCTAGGGTCCCCAATTTAAATGAAAATTCTTTTTTTAAAAAATATTTATTTACTTATTATGTATACAATATTCTGTGTGTATGCTTGCAGGCCAGAAGAGGGCACCAGACCTCATTACAGATGGTTGTGAGCCACCATGTGGTTGCTGGGAATTGAACTCAGGACCTTTGGAAGAGCAGGCAATGCTCTTAATCACTGAGCCATCTCTCCAGCCCTTAAATGAAAATTCTAGTCCCAAGTTTGCCTAGATTTCAGCTACTTGTACTAAAGGTCCTCTCTTCTACCAACTTTCAGACAGGCTCTTCTGAGTCCTCCTCTTGACCAGGTTTCAGCTTGGCCCTGTTCTGTCTGAACTACTGAGCTGGTTTAGCAAGAATCCTGGTAAGTTGATGGCTGACCATACTTGTGATGGTTAAGTGCCACCTTCACCACGAATTACGTTAGAGGCCTGATGTGGTGGCCCACACTGTTAAGCACAGTACCCGGGATGTTGAGCCAGGCTGATCTCTGAGTTTGAGGCCAGCCTGGACTATATAACAAGTTCTAGGCCAGCCAAGGCTACCGAGAGAAACCATATCTCCAAAAACAGTGTTAGGTAAGTTTAAAAGGGATTATCCATTATCCTTTAATAGTTTCCAACCAATGACCCTCCTCACCCTGCTCCTGGCTGTGTATCACTTATCTTGTATTGGGCTTTCATTTCTATGTAGCTCCTTTATTGGTCTCTATGTAATAGTGTCAAATAAAAATTTTCTCCTTATTTTAACGAGTATGAGAAAAAAGTTTTAACACTTGCCATGGTCTTGGGACAACAACCGAGGACAAGCCACGACCCGGCTGCCTTCAGAGTCACACTCCCTGTCTTCCTGATGACTCGAGAAATATGGTTGTATTCCAGGTCCTTAAGCTCTTTCCTCAACAGCCCTTAGTGGACTCAATATCCCAACCAACACAGCTCTAGCAGAGTCGTCTCAACTATTAACAAACCAACCAGTCCATCCTGCCACCTCAATGGTTTAGTCAGTCAGATAATCAAAATATAGGAATATATTTAAATGGTTTCTCAGCATAAATTTTTTTTTTTTTTTTTTTTTTTTGGTTTTTCAAGACAGGGTTTCTCTGTGGCTTCAGAGCCTGTCCTAGAACTAGCTCTTGTAGACGAGACTCTTGAACTCACAGGGATCTGCCTGCCTCTGCCTTACAAGTGCTGGAATTAAGGGCGTGCGCCACCACCGCCCAGCTAAATGTATTTTCAAAGAGTCGTAGTTTTTGTATCATCAACATAAACAAAATACATACACTTGGGATATGGACTATCTACCCTGGGCTCTTTGACTTAAAAAAAAAAAAAGATTACAGAAGACACAAGTCTTCCATGTTCCTATGGTGGCATGAACAAATTCTCCGCCCTTGTTCTGAACAACGACTTTGAAATTCCACCTCTTGGGTTCCAATTACACTTTTGTCTTTAGCAAAGAGGCTTTATTGTAAAGGTTTCCTCACCCACAACCCTGATTTCATGTTTTATTCATCTCCTTCTTTAGATTTCAAGTAAGGTAAGGATGCCAAAATTCAAACTTTACTTAATGTTGTGTTGAGGCCAGGTGTCAGGCTCTCCTGTTGAATCTCTTCCATCACGGGGGTTGTTCCCGAAGTACTTTCAGGGAAGTGACGCGACAACCATTCTTTGGTTCTCATGGCCTTGCAGTGGAGGCAGGGCCTTTCTCTGACTTGGTAATTTTCCAGATCCCTTGGCCTCAACACTGATTTTCTCCTCTTGATACTGGCGGGCGACGGAGGCTGTCCACTTTCGCTCTCCTTCCACGAGGACGCTCCAGAGTTGGACTCCTCATTTTCGTGCTCAGTGCTATCGCTGTCTTGCTGGATCTGATTCTTCCGGTGGAACTGGGAATGGCGCCTAGCTCGTCTATGTTCAAGGTAGGCATTGACCAAAGCCATTTCGGAGTCAGTTACGGCAGAAAGTTGGTTCTGCTTTGGTTTCTTCATCACTTGTGAATAGTCCCAGGATCTGTCTTTACTTTGTTGCTTATAGAAAGTTTCTTTACTTGCTAACCAAGAAAACAGATCAGCAAGTTAGGCAAGAATAGTCATTAATAATTGGTTGTTATAGAAAGATCAATTAAGCCGGGCGGTGCTGGCCCACACGTTTAATCACAGCACCCAGGAGGCAGAGACAGGCGGATCTTGTGAGTTTGAGGCCAGCCTGCTCTACAGAGAGAGTTCCAGGACAGCCAAGGGTACACAGAGAAACCCTGTCTTGACAAAGAAAAGAACAAAGAAAGGAAGGAAAGAAAGGAGGGAGGGAGAGAGGGAGGGAGGATGGGAGAGAGAGAGAGAGAGAGAGAGAGAGAGAGAGAGAGAGAGAGAGAGAGAGAGAGAGAGAGAGAGGTCAGTGAGAAGGACAGACAGCTTTGGGGGCCCTACAGAAGGTGTCTGGAGGGCCAAAGCCTGCCTTCTGCTTATAAATTGGCATATTTACAGGACAGAGGACTTGGGACAGGGAAGGAGGTTTCAAAGTTTTGTTTTTGGCTTGCAGTTGGCCCTTGTTGGACATAAGATGTGAGCAATCAGTTAAAGAGTGTTAGGTCCTTCAGTCAGAGGTGGTGGTACAGGCCTTTAAGGCCAGCACTGGGGAGGCAGGTGGATCTCTATGGAGTTCAAGGCCAGCCTCGCCTACAAAGTTGAATTCTAGGTCAGATAAGGGTTATGTAACTTATCTAAATAACTCAATTAGTCATCTGACCACCCATTAATATCGGATATGGCTGGGCACTATCGGGGTCTTCAGTGGGGATGGTGGCAGGAACCTAGGGAAGTACACTACTTTATGTATTCCTGAATGTTGATTACTGTGGTTTCAGGAAACTGCTAGAACTCTTCAAAATGGCACTTTTCAACATGATGGGGCCTTGGCTAACAACTTCACATTACCCAAGAAAGTCTGACCCAGCAGTCAAATCACTGCCTTCCTCAATCACTCGCTAATGCCGGCAAAATGAGTGCTTTTCTGGTGCTGCCCTCCACCCCACAGAGACGGGAGGAAATGACTGCTGAACCTTTGTAAGCCCTGGATGTGGTATCAAATGGAAGAAACGTGGTCGCAGAAGTTGCAGGGTGTGTGGGAGAGGGATCTGACAGCAGGATGCCTCTCTCTCCTCGCCACGCTCTATGCGGATGTTGGCTCGGACCAGCTCAAACGGCCTGATACATCTTTGAAAATTTTGTGAGATGGTTAAACCATCATTGCTAAACAAATTTTACAATTAAATCAGTCTGCCAAAAAGGTGATAATTACTTAATGCCCATAATTTCCTAATTATCTTCCTACAGTTTATTATGCTGTGGACCCTCAGAGCTGTTTATCTGGGTGTGGGAAGGCCTACCGGAGGATGTGTTATTATTATTGTACTTCTGTCTCCAAGTCTGTTCTCTGACAATATGCTGCCAGCTCCAAACCATCATGGGAGTGAGCTGGAAAACTAGCAAAAAGACCAGGGCTTAGTGCCCGGGGCTAGGAAAATGATGGAGACTGTGTTTCTCATGTAGATTGTCACAGCTGCCACCTAACTGTGAATAGCAACCCACAATCAAGACGTACTCTCCCAGTGTTCTGAAGCTGTTGTTATTTACGTCATCAAAGCAGCCGATGAACAACTAAGCTGATGTCTCAATTCCATTTCATTCTTTAGCTTTGAGGACAATAACATTTTGTTTGTTAGTTTGTTTGTTTTTGTTTTTTGAGACAGGGTTTCTCAATCGCGAAGGAGTTAGTCCTGGAACTAGCTCTGTAGACCAGGCTGGCCTCGAACTCACAGAGATCTGCCCCTCTCCGAGTCTTCCTAGTGCTGGGATTAAAGGTGTGCACTACCACCACCCAGCGAGGACAATAACATTTATGCTAACATTATACTCACTTGGTCACTTGGCTTATAACTATGAGATGACCTAGGAGGCAAGGGTCTGGCAAAAATCAAAAAGAACACTGTGTGTGAAATCAGTAGTCTACAGAGAACTTAACACAGATACTTCATAAATTATGGGACAGAAATCTTTCCTATCAATACACACACATTTGTCTATTCACAAAGCTTTGTGAAGGCAAGCCCCAAGACACGACAGCAAAGGGAGCTCTGGCTACCGTAATCTGTCCTTTATGGTGGCGGCTCTGCTGGGGCATCTGCCTTTGGGAGGAGGGAAGCAAAGCCTTCACCCAGAGGCCTTCTAGTCTCCACACTCCTCTGGAGATCCCCAGAATGCTCACCTTGACTTACTGGCGCACTGGTCCCACCGTCTTCATCCCACTTGCTGGCAGACATCTGTTTCAGGAATACAGTGAGATGAGCTCAGTCAGTTGCCCTACGGTAACATCGACGAGCCCAGGACCATTGCTCGAGGTCCTTTACTAAGGTCTAGCCTTGAACAATCAACCCTGTCAGATATGCACATCTGGAGTTCCTTTGTAATGGGGACCTACCTCCACTGCCAGTTCAAAAGACCATGCTTCTGTAGCAGAATCCACCAAAATGGTCTGACCGAGCAAAACTGAGCAAAGACTGTAGATAAAATAATACTCACGAGGTGATAAAGTTTTCTATCACTTATAATACATAGAAGTTTCATTTAAAAACAGACAAGGGGGAGGGGCTGGAGAGATGGCTCAGCAGTTAGGACCACTGGCTGCTTCTCCAGAGGAACTGGATTCAATTCCTAGTACCCACATGGCAGCTTAAAACCGTCATGTTCCAGGGGATCTGATACCTTCAGACAGATAAACGTGCAGGCAAAACACCAATGCACATAAAATAAAAGTAAATTTAAACAAAATCACTCAAAAAATGGATTGGGGGCCTGGCAAGAAGGCTCAGTAGGTAAAGGCACATGGTGCTAAGCCCTACGACCAGCATTCGATCCCTGGGGACAGCATGGAAGAAGAGGAGAACTGACTCCCAAAAGTTGTCCTCTGACCCCCACATATACACCATTGCGCATGCTCATGCTCAGGCACGTGTGTAAACCCACACACAATAACACACATAATAAATTTAGACCAAAACCATATTTGAATCCCAGTGGGTAGCACACACCTATAATCTGCACACTCAAGGTCCCGAGTTCAAGGCCACTCTGGGTTATATAGCAAGAGCCAGTCTCAAAAAAAAAAAAACACACATTAGCTTCAAATGAGTCCTTTAAGAACTCAGGATGGCTGGGCGTGGTGACACATACCTTTAATCCCAGCACTCAGGAGGCAGAGGCTAGTGGATTTTTGAGGTGTGAAGCCAGCATGGTCTACACAGCGAGGTCCAGATCAGGGAGACCTTCATAATGAGACCCTGTCTCAAAAATGGATTGATTAATTAATAGTGGCTTTATTCCTTCTTCTTCCAAATTGTCCACAATTAGGAAATACAATTTGTACAGAAAAGTCAAAACTTGTTTAGGTTGAAAGGCACTCTGCCGAATGTGTTAAGTTCGTTACTTTTTAAATTTTTAACTTTTTAAAGACCTGATGTAGGTGGGTCTTCTTTCTATCTATTGCTTTCATTGGTTGATTAATAAAGAAAACGGCTTGGCCTCATAGGTCAGAACATAGGTGGGTGAAGTAGACAGAACAGAATTCTGGGAAGAAGGCAATGAGGCAGACGCTATAGCTCTCCTCTCTGAGATGGGCGCAGATTAAGATCCTTCCCAGTAAGCCACCATCTCATGGTGCTACACTCATTAATAGAAATGGGTTAATCAAGATGTGAGTTAGCCAGTAAGAGGCTACAGCTAATGGGCCAAGCAGTGTTTAAAAGAATACAATTTGTGTGTTGTTATTTCGGGGCATAAGCTAGCCAGGAGGCTGGGAGCCAGGTGGCAGGAACGCTGCCCGCTGCTCCTTCTACAAAGACAGGTCCTCAGGTAGTGCAGTTGGCCTGGAACTAACCTTGTAGCCAAAATGACCTTGAACCTACAGATCTTCCTGCTTCTGCCTCCTAAGTACTGGCATGACGGGGCATGCACATATTTGGATCATTCTAGCAGCAAAATCCAAGATCCCTGGCTTAATACTTTCTCTAGGACTCCAGTAAGGTATTTCCTTGTCTTTCTCTCTCTCTCTCTTTTTTATTGGTACAGTAGTCATTCTCTAAATATCTTGAGACTGAAGTCCTTCTTAAAGTGACATTTTTAAAAAATGTGTGAGGACTCCATGCATGTTTTAAATTTAACATGTATAGAGAGAATTATTAGAAGACTGGAGGCTGTGACCTAGATGCTAATAGCGGTTGGGGATGTCTGTATAATCTGGACTCTGAAGTGGTGTCTGTTCCATTTTGTCTACCTTCCTATAATCTTGTGCTCTGCAGTGAGCACTTCTGTAGTTGAGGGAAAAAGTATTTAAAAGCACTTATTAGGTTTATAAAAATCACTTCCACAGAGAGCTTCCACACTGGATGCCAAATCAAAATACAACCACAAAATCAAGGGAAAGATTTTACATTAAACTAAGTGGAGTCGTATGAGTTATGGTTAGCACAAGCATTTCATTATCTATCCCCGTGCAGGACTTAGTGAGGGAAAGCAGTGACAGTGGTCACTCTGCAGGGCAGAGCAGGGCAGGGCAATAAAGGGGGGCTGCACTCTTTCTGCCACACTCCAGCTCTCCCATCTCACCATACCACTCCATCCCTTCTAAGCTCAATTTCCACATATGCAGAAACAAGGATTTCAGACAACTATGGTCTAGAAAAACAAAAGCAGCACTAGCAAACTTAAGTGCTAGACAAGCAGGCCAACTCAACAGATGATCTCGAAGCCGGGTGGTGGTGGTGCATGCCTTTAATCCCGGCATTCAGGTAAGCAGAGGCAGGAGAATCTCTCTGAGTTCAGGACCAGTCTGGGTCTACAGAGTGAGTTCCTGGACAGCCGGAGCTACACAGAGAAACCCTGTCTCATAAAGATAACAAAAGGAATACACGTCTTCTAAGAAGAGATGAATCTCAAGGGCATGGGTGCGTTGCTTGTTGGAGGGTGATTCCCACCACATTCCCTACCGCTCTCGACCACTGCTTTAAGGGTGGGAGATAGAGACCCACTGTCCCACAGGGAAAACGAACAAGCTCAAAGTACGGGGGAAATTTCGTCCTCCTTGACTGGCTCTCATACAGTTCTCAGGTTTCAAATCTAGGACCCTTCAGAAGAAGCAGGCCAACCAACTGGAGCTGCCACAAGGGCACAAAGTGAAAGATGAAACCCCAAAGATAATTACGGTTTCAATCAGTGCTGAACAGATTTAATCCAACATTTCAAACTATGCTTTGAAGTAAACAAATAATATGGCAGGAAATCTGGATCCCTTTTCCCTCTGTCACTCTGTCACAAACCACTTGTGTGACACTGGACAAGTCACTTAAATTCTTTGGGCTTTATCAGCCACCCCCCCCCAAAAACTAAGGTGGGTATGGGGATTTTACTTGCTTACAGACAGAAGCCTGGACCACAAGCCCCCTTCAGTCCTTGGAGCATAGCTCGAGAGCTCCAAACTGCTGATGTAAGCAAGGGGACCAAAGAACAGCGTAGACCTCTTAAATGATCTTCATGATGAAATTGCCAGTGATCAATTCCAATTTTTTGTTAATTTTCTAAAGTAGCTTTTCTTGCCAGGCCAAATTCAATATACTTAGCTAGGGAATCTAAAACACATATAAGCATCACTGTTCTAATTCTCCTTCTGGCAAAGCATTTACCTCAAGAAGCATTTAGACATCAGATAAAACTTCTTGGCCAGGAGGTAGTAGGGGGAAGAGGGTTTTTTTTTATTATTATAATGGAATCTACCTGGCATCGAAATAACAAACCTCCTCTTCTCCATCCAGAACTAACATAGCACTCAATCTAGCTGGCCACTGCCAGCGGGGAGCTCTGGCTAGAATGCTAAATGATGGTGGCTTGATTAATCACCAGTCTATTATTAATGGCCAGAAAAGATTCTGTGTCAGCAATTTATAAGAGGTTGATTGCTCATAGTATGTTGCAGGCCACAGACTTAATAAAGCGGACTATGCCATTCCTAAGCTTCTGGCATTTTCTTTTGCTATTCTGTGCCTAAGAGTGCTGACTTTAGCTCTGTTTCGTTTAATTCTGTATCTTAGTCTATGCAGAAAATGGAGTTTCCTTCTAGCCACGCCCCAAATCCTACATGTGTCCTATCAAAATGGAAACATTTATATCTTTAATAGAACCACACGGCTATAAGAGGGATTTGGAAGTCACTAACCAGTGGAGAGTTTTATCTCAATATTATATAGCATAGGAACAAAAAGGTAAACAGCCTAAATTTTCAACTGCAGAATTTTCATAGTGCAACCATAAGACAGAGAAGTTATAATGAAAAGGCTGCTTCCATGAGGAAGGATTTACAAAATAATAACTCAAAAGTCAGGCTATGAAAATACACACAATATAAGTTTTGACTATGCAGGGGCGGAGAGAGAGAGGGAGAGAGAGAGAGAGAGAGAGAGAGAGAGAGAGAGAGAGAGAGAGAGAGACCGAAAAAAAGCAGGGAAAAATAACCTAGAAGGAGTTCTCCACAAATTTAACAGTTTGTATCTCTACAAAATGAGTGGAGTGGTTTTAATGCTCTTTATCCTTTTCAGTATCTTTAGACTTCCTGGCATGAGAATGCATCATTTTTTAAACAAAACAAAAACCTTTTTAAAAAAAAAAAAAGTACTTTCATCAAACTACAGACAGACAGACAGTGTAGTTGCTGAAAAACCTTACAAAGACACGATTTAAAGTGAAAAGGATTTCCTACCCAGACAGAAGCCCGAGAGAAGAACATGAGGATCAATACGACGACGAAATACCAAAGCAGGAAACTTCCTACTATCCCACAAGAATCGTCCTTCCGGCACTCAGCATCCTGTCTCGGAATACTAAAACTGAGGGGCATGGGAGGAGGGTCCAGCTCCCAGAATAAAGACAAAATATCTCCCATAACAGCTTCTTGCTTAGGAAATAATAAGACATGCTCAAAGGGATGAAGGTGACTGGGAACGATTTCCCTCCATGGCCTATGACAACTTCCCTGGCAACCTATTGTGACATACACTTAAGTAACTGTTGTAGGAACTGATAAATCTGCTTGGATTAGATGGGCAGATTTATCTAAATGACACCTAGAATAGTTTATGGTATTTCCTGAATTTCTCAGTATATTTTCTTCTGCCTAAGTCTTTTCTTCTTCGAAGCTTACATATTCTTTATTTTCCTATTTAAGTGTCTAAGGTATTTTTTTAATCAGTCTCTCTTTTTTTAATGTGTACCATACCACTGTAAATTAACACACACAATTCCAATGTACTACTGGCTGCATTGTGTGTTCCCTAAAATTTAAATGTTGATGCCTTCAGAGCCATCTTGTATTTTGAGATAAGGCCAGAAGAGAGGTAGTAAAAGGAAAGTCAGATGGCTGGATGATAAGACTTTCTACCCGAGGTCAATTCCCCGTGATTCACATGGTAGAAGAACACTGACTCCCTCAAGCTACACTCTGACCTCCACATGTTCATGGTGGCACATGCGCATATACACACAAAATAAATAAATAAGTAAATTCAAAAACTCTTCAAGAGGGAACGGAGGCTCCACCGGGTCATAAGGGTGGAACCTTAATCTAGCTGATAGTCTCGAAGAAGAGGAAAGGACACCAAAGATTAACCAACATGGGGGGGAAAGGCCATATCAGAGTGTAAGGTGAGGTCATCTGCAAGCCAACAGCACCAGGCTCAGCAGACTCCAGCCCTGCTGACATCTTCCCAAGCTGTGTGTGTGTGTGTGGGGGGGGGGGGGGTGTCTTCTACGCTCTTTTTCCCCCCTTGGAGGAAGCACTCATGTTTTGGGATGTAGTGTTACGGTAACTAAACACATAATGGCAACTATCAACTTAATCTAGCTGATAGTCTCGAAGAAGAGGAAAGGACACCAAAGATTAACCAACATGGGGGGGAAAGGCCATATCAGAGTGTAAGGTGAGGTCATCTGCAAGCCAACAGCACCAGGCTCAGCAGACTCCAGCCCTGCTGACATCTTCCCAAGCTGTGTGTGTGTGTGTGGGGGGGGGGGGGGATGCCTACTCTTCTACGCTCTTTTTCCCCCCTTGGAGGAAGCACTCATGTTTTGGGATGTAGTGTTACGGTAACTAAACACATAATGGCAACTATCAACTCTGATCTGACAAGTGTTATATAAGCCTGAATAAATGCACAATAGCTTGTTACCTTAAAAGGAGGAAACGGACCCCTGTTAAGAACTATGTCGAAGTTATACAGTTTCTTTTTAGATAGACTTACATGGGGAGAAATGAGAACCTGGCATTCTAATTTGACTGGACACTGAATTGAACCCTTTCTTTTTCAACAGTTTTCAAGTTAGTCCATCCCTAAATCTACATCTAGATCCAAACTACATCATACTAAGACAATGATCAAAATCTCACTGGAAAAAAAAATAGCTCTTTAAGAGCATACAATAACCCGCCAGTTTTCATATGCAATACCACCATGACACCTCATTTCTTTCTGTTTAATCCTGATATTTATTTACATTTTCTGAGACAGTCTCATGATGTAGTCCCGGCTGGCCTTCGAACTCCAGAGATCCACACGTCTCATTAAAGGCAAATACCACCATGCCTGGCTGGCACACTTCTCTGGAAGGAGTCCCTGAGTACACTGCCCATTAGTCCTCTAACTCGGGTCAGTGTTGCCACTCCCAAGAAAGTTCTTCCAGAGCTGAGATTGTGCTGGATGTGCCTCCCCCAGTCTCCCTGTTTCCACTTCACCTGTAGGAGTCAGACAAAGCCCTTTGGAGCAATAACCAGAGAGCCCCCAGCCCCATAGCCCACATCGGGAGCAGTGGTACACTGTAGGAACCGGCACTAACTACTAAGTAAAACCCGACTCACCTCCCTGGCGAATCTTTTCTCAGTACTTTGAAAGAACATTCAGGGCAAAAGGTGGGGTTTTGTCGTTTTGTTTTTTGCCTCAAAACCACTAACTTCAATAGAACGTTCTAGTTTTTCTTCCTACTGCTGCAACCCCATTAGGTGGATATTTGAGAATTGAAGTTGGGTCAGAGTAATTGGGGTAAACATTTCAAAGCAGGAAAAATGCTTTGTCATTGCTGATTGTGTCTGGACACGTCAGGCATGCTTGTATCCTACCAATTAGCCATCCGGCTAAATAAAACCTACTTACAGATGAGCCCATACGGATCCTAAATAAATCTATAATTAATAATATTTAAAAAATCAGCTTATTACAATCATTACTTTTTACTAAGGGCTCAGAACGTGGTCTGAATTTTGCAGCTCAGCTTTCTCCCTGTAGCTGAGTAGGAGCCACAAATCCGAGGGCGTTTCCCTGGCAACGTCGCTGCCCTGGTCCCTCTGCACCACCCCCTCCTTCTCGCGAGAAGAGACGGCCGGCCCGGTCCTTCCGGTAACTGGAGTCTTTTCTAGCCCGCCGCCGCCTTAGGCTTGGCTTCGCGCATGTGCAGTAGGGAGTGGCGCGAGTTCGCGGCTTCCGGCTGAAGAAGATGGTGCGTTTTGGGGGGTTGTCTTTGTGATTCCTGGACGTGGAGTCCACGCGGTCCCTCAGAGATCCACGCCTAAAGTTGTGCCTGGGGTTCAGCCAGGGGAAGATGTAGCCGAAAGTCCTGCCACTTGTAGTGGAAGGGAAGAAAGACACAAGGAGGATGAACAAAGTTTATTCAGAGGTAGCCAGGGAGGGCAGCTCTCCTACGGGAGTTTTGGCGCGGGGCTGGATGGCGGGAAGGATACTAATCTGCTCTGTAGAATACGACTTCCAGGAGCTGCCATATCAGACTGTAGAGCTGAGCCTAGCAAGACAAAGGAAATACAATTCCACTGTACCAAAACTGAATGCACGTGTTCCCTATCTCTCTTGAGCCAGACCACCTCATTAGTAAAGCCTTAAAATCTCGTCCCCAAAAGGAGATCCCAGACCTGTAGCAGTCCGAGGTCAGGGTTAGAGTCTGTCACAGTAATGACAAAACTTGGTATCTTGTGTCTCTTCATCTAGACCTAGTAACATCCTCGAGTCAGACAAACCGTGAAATCTTTGAGACTTAATAACAAACCCTTACATTATGAAACAAGACACTATCATTTATTGGAACCATTAGTTCCTCTGCAATAACCAGCCAGTTCTCTGTTGAGTTCTCTGTAGTACGAAAGAAGGCAATTATTTTAGGACACCCTTTTCAAATACTAATATTAAGGTGGAGGGATGGGGAGAGGAGTTGGGGAAGAAATATTAAGGAAGAGGAAAAGACTGTGGGGTTGATTTCCTTTGATTAATTCCAGGCTGTCCTGCTTTGCTTTTGAATAGATGCAAGGAGAAGCAAGCCCCAGTGCTTCTCTTATCGACAGAACCATCAAGATGAGAAAAGAAACAGAAACTAGGAAGGTGGTTTTAGCCTGGGGACTCCTAAATGTATCCATGGCTGGAATGATATATACCGAAATGTAAGTTCATCAGCCCAAAAGTGACATTTTAGACCATCATTGGCTGGTTCTATGGCTTTTCATATTTCTTTTGGTTTTCGGTGCTTGGTTGGTTTGTCATGGAGTTAGGGGGTGGTTTTCTTTTGTTTCTGTTTTTTTTTTTTTAAATAACTGAAAAGCATTTCTAATCTTTTCAGGACTGGAAAGTTAATTAGTACATACTATAATGTGACATACTGGCCCCTCTGGTATATTGGTAAGTAATTAATTTTCACTGGGATTTAGATTTACTACAAATGAAAACTTGCTTATAGTTTAATTCAGCTTTAGGATTCGCTCTTTCATTCAGAGACAAATAATGAACTACCTGCTCTGTTTCCCAAGATGTTGAACAACAGAGAAGGAACTAGGAAAACATTTTGTTGTTGTTGTTGTTTTGCTTTTTGTTTTTTCAAGACAAGGTGTCTCTGTGTAACAGTTCTGGCTGTCCTAGAACTTGCTTTGTAGATCAGGCTGGCCTCGAACTCACTAAGATTCACCCACTTCTGCCTCCCAAGTGCTGGAAACAAAGGCGTGCACTACCACCTCCCAGCTAGGAAAACACTTTTTTCTATGGGAAGAACATTCTAGTAGGAGACTGAGTCAGGAAGATTATTTCAAGTTTGAGGACAGCCTGGTAGTAAATATCTAATCCCACCTGGTGCTTGGGAGTGGAAGAAGAATCAGAAGTCGGAGGCCAACCTGGCATGGCACATGAGACCTTGTCTATAAACTACACTAATAAACAATACAGAGATAAGTAGTTAGGAGTCCTACAGCTTGTGGGTGATGAGGTTTACCTTCGCCATTCCTGAAATACACTCTCGCTTCTTCACCTTCAAGACCAGACCAGATTAATCGTTAGGATAGAAAGAGTCCTAGGGATGTCAAAATAAATCTGTAGCCTATGCAAGTTGAAATCAGTTGTGGACAGCCAGCGGTGGCTTTAATCCCAGCCCTTGGGAGGCAAAGGCAGGTGGACCTCTCAGTCCAAGGCCAGCCTGGTCTACAGATCTAGTTCCTGGAAAGTCAGGCTGTACAAAGAAACCCTGTCTCGGAAAAACAAACAAGAAAGAAAGAAAGAAATCGATCACGGAGGAATGGAGATGACTCCGAGGTCAAGAGCCATACTGCTTTTGCAGAGGACCCAGTTTTTTTCCTGGCTCCCACATGGTGACTCACAACTCCAGTACCAGGGTTCCAACACCCTCTTTGGGCCTCTGCTATACCAGGCGAGGACATGGTGTACATAATGCATCCGGGCAAAATACACACGCAAGATAACTTTGAGAGTGGGTATGGCAGATGGAAAAGGACGGGATTCAGGATGATCACACCTATGGTAGAGTCATGGTTCACCAACACACTGGGACTCCCAAAACTCACTTGACTATTAAAACGAATGTGGGAATATCTGTTATACAGGTTTATAAGAATTAGTGATTAGTTTAAAACTCAGTAGCGAATGATCTGAGCCTACTAGACTTTGCTTAGGTGGTATCTGTTGTGAAGAATAAGAAACTAGTTTTTAATATTTGATGTTAAGTTGCTGAAAATGGAACCAACACCTTTTTGCTTTTTAAAATAATAGATTGGAGCGAGAAGTGGTGGTGCACACCTTGAATGTAAGCATTTGGGAAACAGGCAGGTGGATCTTTAAGTTCCAGGACAGCCTGGTCTACAGAGTGAGTGCCAGGACAGCCTGAGCCACACAGAGGAAACCTTGTCTTGAAAAACCTAAATAAGTAAATAAACAAATAAATAATAATTTGGAGCTTGAACTACACAGAGAAACCCTGTCTTGAAAAGCCAAATAATAATAATTAATAATAATTTGGAGCTGGAGAGGTTCTTTTCAGGTAAAGCTACTCCCAGCAGGCATAATGACCTAAGTTTGATTCCCCAGAACCAATATAGTTATAGGAGAGAACCAACTTGCACAAGTTGTCCTCTGACCTCCACATGCCAATCCCTGCACACAAACAAATAAAAAGTATTTTTAATAATAATTATAATAGTTGTTGTTTTCTTCCAGAACTTGCTCTGGCATCTCTCTTCAGTCTTAACGCCTTATTTGATTTTTGGAGATACTTTAAATATACTGTAGCACCAACAAGTCTGGTGGTCAGCCCGGGACAGCAAGCACTGCTAGGGCTGAAGACGGCCGGTGAGTGCAGAGTGGGGAGAAGGCAGTGGCCCCGTTTCTGAGTTTTCCCTTGCCGTAGACTCCGAGCTAGTAGGCATCTATTAGCATTAAGTCAATCTATAGGAAATTGTCTTGTGGTTATCTTTGTTGTTTGTATGAATTGAGTGGACTGTCATACAAGTTCATGGAAGTATGTTTTACTGTTTTAAACATCGTGGTGGTAGTAAACAACTGATGAGTTGTGTTTGTGTAATAGTGTTTGATGTAATTTAATAGCCAGATCCTTTTGTCACTTTCTTTTGGTATTTCTACATAGCTCTGACTGTCCAGGTTGGCCTGGCCTCTGCCTCCCAGGTGTTGGGATGAAAATCATGTGCCACCACACCCAGCCCTTAAATCCATTTTCATAATTCTCCTTATACCCAAGAGACTGAGGCAGAAAGAGCTTAAGGTCAAGGCTAGCCTTAATTATATAGCAAGACCTAATTTTTTAACCTTCTGTTTTAATTTAAACCTATATTGTATGTGTAATTTATGTTCTTTTCCTTCTAGTTGTGCAGACTACGCCTCCCCGGGATCTGGCAACCACCCAAGTCCCTCCCTCTCCACCTTCCCCTTCAATCCAGGGTCAGAGTGTGTTAAGTTACAGCCCATCTCGTTCACCCAGCCCCAGTCCCAAGTTTGCCGCCAGCTGTATGACTGGGTACAGCCCCCAGCTTCAAGGCCTGTCCTCAGGCGGCAGTGGCTCGTATAGCCCTGCTGTGACCTACTCTCCAGTCAGTGGTTACAACAAGGTAATGATCTTTGCTCGGCCAGCGATACTATTTTAGAATTGGGAGTTGCGCTAAAATCACCCAGTAAGTTCAGGTTTTGCCTTTGGTTAGTGAGGAACTGAGGAACAGTGGTTAAGAACATACTGCGTTTCCTGTCACTCAGGCAAGAGTTCTTTAACAACATCTCAACACTAGCATTTCTGGAGATGATAAAGCATGACAGGCCCCAGCCAGTTCCAACAGTCTTGAAATAATATGAAACTTTGGTTTCTTTTATGCGTGTTTTCTCTATTTAAGCTTTTTGTTTGTGAAGACTTCACTTTTTTGTAGAATTTTAACACTTTGTATCCTGCCTGATCCTCTTAGCTAGAACCAGAGGTCTTCATCCAGTTTGGTTCTGAAGTATGGATGCTTGCTGTGTTGTGGGTAGAAATATTTAAATTCCTTAGTAATGTCAGCGCTGCTCTAATTTTTTAGGGTATTACTAGCAAAATTTGTAGGTTGAAATTTCAGTTCTGCAAGGCGTAAGGCTTCAAGAAAAGTGTCAGAAGAGAAGTTCTGACCGCCAAGGTGGGCTAACATCTCTATCTACTGGTTAAGAGAATATTGCTTCAGAGAAAGCAGCAGTCTGTCTGCCTGGTTGCATAACGTTGCTTGAAATTCTGTGCTACTAGTCATCCAATATTAGGTGGTAGAATTTTTAAAATTTTGTGCACGTTGAATATGTAAGAAATGTGAAGTTACAATCCTTAACCCACAGGCTGGCATGGCTTTTGTTTTTTTTTTTTTCAAGA